CCCCAAAACCCCAAAACCCCAAAACCCCTAGTAATTATTACTATCAGATAAAATCAGATTAAATTATAAATTCGGATTATTATATGTCTGGAAAATCTACATTTATTTGTTCATTTGGTTTTTAAGTTCTTTTTCTCTTTTTAAAGTCAAAATAATACAGGGTATGTGTAATCGGATCCAATACCACAAGTTTAAGTAGTGGTATTCTCAGTCATGAGTATTCTGGCATACCCATTCTCACCCCATGTCTCTCCCCAAGAGTTTTTTATAATCCAATAGTTCATTCCATTCTCTCTTCCATAACCTACTAATTAAACAGCATGGTTAATATCTTCCCCACAGTCAGATGATATAATTCCACTTTTGTACATTCGAAAAACATCGGAATATCCACTTACTCCAATTGATACTGGCTAGTTTTAAATAACATATTTTAGAACAGAAGCATCAACTTCCTTAGAATTATAGAACCCTCTTACTCTTACAAAATCATTCAGATTCTATTTGCACTAAGATCTTCTTTAAATATAGGGATAGTCAATTTCTCTAGTAATATCTTATGTCATCAAGTATTAGAAGACGATTGTTTCATGCCCACCATTACATCCCCCATTTCTGAAAGAACAATCAATTATTTGTTATTCAGAGAGATCTATTCCCTTGTATTAATCTTCGTTCTGAATCAATAATGCGCTTTCTAATGTTGACAGAGCTGCAAATGCATAGCAGCTACCACAATCTCCTTAATCCTTTACAGATGTTACCTTGCCTAATTCTCTCCAATCTAATGAAGGATTATCATTATCTGCGATTTACTATGACTTCCTGATTTTACCAATGGAAATTAAAGGGTCTGTTATTGTTTATACCTGCTTACTGTTGAATCTATTGAGATAAATTTTTTTGAATTCTTCATTACTTAAGTCAGCAAACCTATTCAGAGATAACTTCACACTCTTTTATTTACCATTAAATTTTAAGATTTTCTAGTAATTTTCTAAATAATTTGCCATTGCTATTCTAAAAGCTGGAACTGACTTATAGTTCTTATTAAAGATGGCAGCAAAACTTGAAAATTTAAACTCTAGATCTCTATCTTCTATTATGGCAAATAATTTCTGATTTCTATTGAATATATTTTAGTCTAAGAACTAATTTTAATCTACCAAGAGCAAGCAAGATATTGATAAGATCAATAGTCCTATAGAGGCAAAAATAACGAATTTTAATGTCATTAATAACTTTCACAGTAAAATATTTTATTTTCATACTCTTCTTTTACTAAAGGCTAATATTATTAATGAATCATGGGGTTTTGGGGTTTTGGGGTTTTGGGG